TTGTTCTGAACGAGTAACTGAAGTTTGTTCCTAGGCGTTTTGCATTTTTAAGTACGTAAATTACATACATTTATTATAAAACAATTGGTGATGTCGCTTTTGGCGGCCATCATTGCCTAATAGTATGTCTCTATGTAAATATAACTGGTTAAAGCTGGTCTCATTGCCGGTCCTTTTTACATAATTGCAATAATAAGAATAGGCCCATGGTCAGCCTTACATAATAAGACCAAAAGTAAATCATTAGTACAACAATGAAAAAAGTTATTGATAGTTGATGACATTATGAGTTAGAGCTACCAAGAAAACAATGTTATTTCAATCAATGTGTTTCAGTTCGCAGAATCAAACAGCTTTACCGACAAATTGTTACTTGAGTTGTAGAGTCGATGAAAAGGTTAATAATGCTAGCAAGTCGAAGAAATAGTTATTGAATGAGGTCTAATTCGCACAGGCTTTCAACGTAAAAGGTAATCAATAATTTATACAACGTAATTTACAAAGACAGTAAAAATAGTTACACAATTTTATTAAAAGTAAAATATTCTGCCTGATGTCGACAATTTCACCAAAACCACATGCTCTCTATTCAGAGAGACTCATAAAGTATCTGTATATTGACATAGATTTTGTACTTGTACCTATTATCTTTGTAAGAAGGTAACAAGACAAGTACTGGCCAACTTTTAGAAACTTTGGTAGAGGTCTCTACGTTATGTAGCGGATTGCATTCCAAATTCGAAATTTCGTGGCTGACATTTGTGTTGTATGAACGTAGTCATTATCTTCTTGTACAGTTCGTGCATGGGCCATGGGTACGATTATTACGAGGCCGCGTTCTAGTTGTAAAGTTTATCTGTGTTACCGGGACGCGGAGGCGGTTACTTAGTCCAAATTAAACACTCGCGCCATACCGAACACCGAAAGCGATGCCCGACTCGTTGATTGACTGCGTGGGTGTTCAACTTCTCTTTGTATTTTTGCAGTGACACGCAAAATTAGGTTGACAAACAAAAACGACGGAAACACCCAATACAATATTAATGCGTCTCTACATTCTAATCAAATTATGCAGTCAATGCATTATTTAATGTCGACGCTTTTTGATCTAGAACTTTTTATCCTTTTTGAATATTGCATGAAGAAAGCACTTCGGAGAAAAAGGAATAAATAAAATATGACTTCCATATCCGATCGCAAATTGAATGCAACGGTCGATCTCTCCGAATCGCGCCAAAATTGACCGAACTTTTTACGGCGAGTTCTTCCGTTCGCGATCGTTTTCGTTTCCAGTGCGAGTAACAAGCAAAAACGACGCATCAAATTCATTCAAATCAAGATGGTGGATGTAAAAAAGTATTAAGAATTCCGAACGCGCGCCGAAGTGCCAAATCCGTGACGGGCCGCGAATTTTAAACGCGCGGTTATTGATAGTTCGCTGGTATTTTATTTGACGTTTTGATGCTTTAAAACTGTGTTAAACCTAAAACAAGGTTATCCGGTATTATTTTAGATGAAAAAACATAATGTTGACACGTGTAGGTACCTTATTATTTAGCATTCGCGAAAGCAAGATACTCGTATCCCTGTTCATATCCAATTAACTTTTGAATCCACTGCAACAATGACAAAGGTTTAATGGCTTGTCCTTTGTAAAGTAATGGAGAAGGAAATACGTGTTCCTTGCTAGACATGCGATTAAGGCGACAAGGTCGATGCGCGGTGGCAGAATGGCGGCATTTACGAAGAACGCACAATGCGCTCGCGCAGAACATACTTTACTTACAGCGCAGAGCGCACCCGGACACAGTGTAAAGTTGCTGAAGCAGTAAGTATTACTAATATGAAAGTGACACTACACACTTGTAGAGTAATTTTCATAGTACATAATATATTAAATGATCATGCAGCACGATTTGCAATGCAATAAGGGTTTTACGAGTGGCCTGTAATGTAACATTGCAGTTTAAAGCTACATTCTAATCTAGCTTTTTCATTTTCCACTTTCCTTCTAATTTATCAACTTTTTTAATTGTTTCAAAAAGGTTAGAGCTGAAAATAGAGATTTGAACGTGGCGCAATCGACCTACTGAATCTTTAAAACGATAAAAATAAGTTACAGCACTCCTGAAGTAAATGCTTATTAAATAGTAAACGCGTAGTCGAGAGTGTTAAGTGTTTTCCATAAACCATCTAATAATAATGCTGGCATTAAAAAGCTAGTGCTACTGCTTTAGGCTATTTATACTGTAACCATACTTTATGAACACAAAGCGCGCCGGGCCGTTGTCAAGAAGTGCTGCCATACGCGTTTATCATGTTAACAGCCTATTCATTAAGGTTGAGCTTGACTCATTATTATACTCCACTGATTCTTATCATCCAATAATATTGCCATTTACTTCAGTATTTTATTATTTTTAGTATTGATACTCGCATCAGTGCGCAGCTAATAATTGAATCGCCGGTAATTATACATATTTTAAACCCCGACAGCGTTCTACTGATACGGTCGAAATTAAACGTTTGAGTTTAAATAATTGCTTTGTAAGCTCGTTCTAAAAAGATAAGAATGAGCGAAGGGCGATGTATGCAGAACTTATTTTTATTAAACTACAGCAACTTTTAGCATTATCATTTTTAAGTACATTCCATTTTTAGCATTACTTTAATGAATTATAAGAAGTAGAATTTAGAAACAAGAGTTTACTAAAAATAGTTTTACTTACCTATTTTTATTTTTTAGGTTTGCGAGTTGATATTAATTTTGTTTAATAAAACATTTATCTTATCTCACGGCACGGTTAAAGGTTAATAATACCACGACCTGTCGTTGAAGTTGAATGAAGTCTAATAGTAGAGAATAAACCAAAGCACATGTAAAATAATATGTAATTCTTTACATTTTGTTACACGCTCAATATTGAAATAAGTTCCGCGTTACAAAACCATCGCATGCTGACATCGCCGAATTTAAAAATGTGACTTACAAAAATGTTCAAAATCACAGTTACATACCTAGGTCAGCACTCACTGCACTCATGTTATTGACTAATGAGTATTGTCTGTATTGTGAAACGCCTCAACAAGACTGTTGGAGCAGGTCAAGATCCAAACCTTGCCCAATATGCAAATAAACAAAAGAAAACTTACTCGCAGCGAATTTCTTCCACATTTGTTTATACACAACGTCCACTCGCGAGGAGGTTCTAGAGAAAAAGCGTCGATCACAGAACTGCGCATATCGTGATATCGTACTGATAACCGCCGAGGTCGGTTTTCGCGAGGTCCCACCGACGCGGCCTTCGCGAAATTAGCGCGATTACATGACTTAACTTATTCGCACATCTGTTTGATAACGCGCAGCTCAACAAGGAAGCAGTTGGCCTGGCTTCATTCATCTTAAACGCAACCCTATGGGCAAAACGTTCCAAAGACTAGTTCTTGAGTAATAATGTATTGCGCTAATAAGAAGCACTTTGCATTTCTTACCGTTTACTTTCAGCACGCAAAAAACGTGTTTGATTTTCTGTTGATTGGTAATAAACACGAATCGCTTATTCTAATGATACTTCTTTATAATCTACGACTCTACGTGAATATGCAATTATTGTTTTCAACATTTTCTTTTTATACAATAATTATTGTTTAGGTATCAAGTTTAACTTGTTGTTGACCAAGGTCAGTAACTCGATTAATTCTAGCTTCTGATTTTATAATTACTCGTTGGTCAATTGCCTAATCTGTGTGCGTAATGAAGCGATTTAACCTACATTCTAATTATCAAATTCCACGCCTTCAACTTATGGTCATGACATTTGGCTGCATTGCTATCGCTATGTACGTTTTATTTATCAACAAAAATATTCCGTCTGGGCTCATTTAGTTACATATCTGCGAGACTGACGCATTTTTATCAATACTTAGAAGCAGTAAAGTCCAAAATAGATATTTTTATATTGCCAGATGGGCGATAAACCGATGATCGTTAAACGTTGAAGAGACTAACCAAATCACAGTTAGCAGACGGCGAATAGATCGCGCCACCAACATCTAATAGTCTAATTATATCAGTCAATCGAGAGTGTCGCATGCGCCGCTATTATTGTGCCTGTAGAGATTTCAATTATTTATTCCGTGCGACGAGTGGTAGAATACCGCCCCTGCTCCCGGTCTTCAGTTAATATTATTTATGTGCGCGTATGCGGGCCAACTACGCACTGGGGAACGTATTCATTATTTATATTGATGGTACAAAACGACATTTAACCCATCAAATACCGTGGTGCCAATGTTACGCTTGCAACAAGTCGATGTTCAAACTGACTTGGAATTTGATTACCGTTCACATTTAGCCGAGCAATTAGCGTGCGGGATTATTGGGCTGACATCAAATTGGTATAAGCCGAGACTGATTGAGACGTGGGGAACATAATACACGTACTGCTCACGAAGGTCGGAACGCAATCTGTGGCGTTTGCATTGGAACGTGAAGGGATTAGGATTGTGGTATAGATATTTTTGATTGACTTTCTAATTTGGTTAAAAGGTCGATTGTAACGAAGGAATGGAGGATACGATTGTATAATACGTCTTACTCTTGGACGTGAAAGTCTAATTTCCAGTGACGACCGAGTTTTATTTTTGAACAAAGACGGAGTAGATATGATAGGGGTGGAATATTTATTGGTTGCTTTTTAAAGTCGGTTGTATTTGTGAATAATGTAACATGGGAACGGCGGGAGCATGCGGGCGACGAGTCGGAACGCCCCGCTGACCCAGTCGCCTGCGCCACTTGATTACTGCACTGAGGATTCAATTGAACAAAGGCTGAAAACGCGGCTAATGCGATTATATCCATAACGCTCCGTTGCGCCGACAGAAACTGCCAGCGCGAAATATGCAAATCGCGTTCCGTATTTACATCCCTGTTCTGACGGCATTGGTTTTAGTTAACGAAAAGGTGAAGGTCGAGGCTGTTGGCGATGGCTGAAGCTTACCGTACGGATAGCGCGTCATAGTGTCGCACAGTCTGCAGGTGCATGCCGCCTTACCTGGAACAAACAATCGGACTTCTAAGTAATTGTCGATATTTTATTGACACACACAATGAGGCTAAAACTAAACACGACAGCTAAGTATCTGACGAAAAGTATACCCGCGAGTTCTTGTAAATTGTGACCTATGAGCATTAATATGTGAACGTAATTACTGTAAATTAGCTAAACATGTAAAATATAGATGTAGAGTAGGAATTAAAACTACATATTTACTGGAAAAATAAAATATAAGGCCTTCATCCGGTAGGCTAAAATGAAATATGTAATTTATGTTTCGATTTCGTGTGTGCGGCGTAATAAAACACTTTTTATGCAATAATTAATGACGACAGTGATTGATTTAATTTATATTTCTACGGCGACTCTACTGAGCTATTTATTCTGTTAAAATATAAACTATTTTAAATCACTCATTCATCATTTCAGCCACAGGACGTCCACTGCTGAACATAGGCCTCCCCCAATGCTTTCCATGTTGATCGATTGGTAGCGGCCTGCGTCCAGCGCTTCCCTGCTACCTTTACGATGTCGTCGGTCCACCTTGTAGGTGGACGTCCCACGCTGCGTTTTCCGGTACGCGGCCTCCATTCCAGAACCTTTCTGCCCCATCGGCCGTCAGTTCTGCGTACTATGTGCCCTGCCCATTGCCACTTCAGCTTGCTAATACGTCGGGCTATGTCAGCGACTTTGGTTCGTTTACGGATCTCCTCATTTCTGATTCGATCTCGCAAAGAAACACCAAGCATAGCCCTCTCCATAGCACGCTGTGCAACTTTGAGCTTCTGTATAAGGCCTATAGTGAGAGGCCACGTTTCCGAATCACTCATTAATAAGTTATTTTTATGAAACACAATAAAATAAGATTATCTGTGAAACAAAACACTGGCGTTTTTTCTTTGTGCGCAAGAGTTTTACCGATTGCGTGAAATATCGTAGACGAAAAAATAAATCAACAAAGATGGCCTTTTTAAGATGGACTTTCTAAAAGAATTGATTGCGATGTTTGTAGTGTTGTGCGGTAGAATCGTCGCGGTATCGAGTAAACAAGCGATCGCTGTGATTCGCGATAAATAATTCACCTGCCAGCGACATCGGGCCATTCAATAAACACTTTATGTTTTCATAGCTTTTTTCTGTCCACTAAACTTGTGTTTTATTTTTTACACAGTTTTTGTAAGCCAAATGCTTTTGTAACTTTTATTGATGCTGTTAGCTGAATACCAGTCAACTGTCGCTTGTATTTATTAACTAACATTTTAGTCATGCCTTTCAATGTGGTCTTTTGAATGCTTCAGATTTTAATTACACTTACATAAGGAAACAATTCTATTAGAGTAAAAGTAGATATTTTGGAAGGGAAACCGAAACTGTTCGGGAAATCAGATGGAGAATAAAGTCAAATTATTAATCGGTGTAAGTAGGTACATATTATGTTTTTTATCCATGATATTCTTATTCACGCTTTTCTTTTTTTAGGAACAATTCTATTAAAGGTGTGTATTAATGTAATGAAATAAGTAATGTAGGTATGTTGGATGCAATTAAATAAGTATAATAAACCATTACATTACTATTGAGATGAGCAAAAACATTATTTTCTCTCACTGACGTAGACGGTTTTCCGCATTTGCGTCAATGGATAAGTGTTTTGTGAATATGCAAAATACCTACATAACGTGTTATTGTTTATTGCATTACTACAATATTGTTGTTTAAAATATTTTTAGTTTTGTACACAGATATTTTTTTGTTTATTCAGGCCATAATAAGGTGTCTATGAATAAAAGTAAGTTTAAGAACTAGGAATTTCAATTTAACAACTAATCCCCGTTTTCCGAATTGAGATTTAAGCTTCAGCGTGCAATTTTTTATTTAGCTTGAACTTCAGGTTACTTACAAATCTACGAAGACAATATCTAAGGCTGAGTTGCACCAAATAACTTTGACCGTAACTATGACGATAACCTGTGCTATTTGTATGGAGTTTGACAGTTTTTTGACGTTTGTCAAAGTTAAAGTAAGATGGTGCAATCCAGCTTATTACATCTCTACAACACGTAGCTGACTAGTACAACGTAAATACACCACAGATAGACACAAAACATCACTAACTAACTGACGCTGGGCGAGGGGTGCCGCTCGGCTGATTATTGTTTTAGTTAACTTTTTATAGCCCGCGGCCGCCCCGGCTTTGAAGGGTTTAGCCACTTGTGCTGCGAGTGTTAACTGTTAACGCATGGACGTTAAATTAGGAGGCGAGGAATAAAAGATAAGTGTTCATGTAATAATGTAAAAGTTTTTTTTCGTTTTAGAAAAATTTTGGATTCTTAGCGCCAACTGCGAACTCAAACTAGACTAGCGCAATTGAGCTTTTAGAAATTAAAAATTTTCCGTGCTTCTAGAAAATGTTACAATACATTGATTCAATTTTGTGATCAGTTCGCTTTCTTAACTTAGGGTCCGATCGCCAACAGATGAATTTAGTAAAGGTATGATGTTAGAATGTTATCTTGTCTAGATTTTACAGGCCTCCCCACTAAAAGAAATCCCAACTTTTTTTCTATTTTTAACAAGGCTGTTGTTTTTCCATTTTTACTTGACATTTAATTTTTATGTGTGATTAATTTCGTGCGAAGAAACAATAGCAGTCGATTTAATTTTGATGATTAATCATTTATTTGGTACTTATTACAAGTGATTTATATTTCAAGTTTTTTACCGTATATTATCAACCTAACCAGCCATAAAATAAAATAATTGATTAATTATATTAAATCTTTAATATGAATAATTCAATTTGTTTCAGCAACGTTGCACAAAACAATGAATGGTACAACTGAAATCACTTAATGATTTTAGTAGTTTAGATCACGCATTTTAAAAATAAATCATGTATTAAGTAGGTACTTAATTTATAAAAATTACTTCTTTTCTTATTACGAGATTCACAAAAACGACCTAACAAACATACAATACAAGTAAACCAAAAACACGTAAGACCAGTTCACTATGGCGCGTGTATTCCAAATGCTTCTAGAATAGTCTCTAAGTTCTTCAACATAAGGCGTGGCGTGGAACGTTCCCGTACGTTCTCGGCGTTCCTTGAAAGATCCCACAGTCTAGTCGTAAAGCACGCTTCGCCTAGCCTCGGCCGAGAGGCGGCATTAGTTTGGAGCGGCCATAACGAATGAGATTTTCATATTGCCTAATGCCTAATAATCATTAGTTATTTGGTGCGTTTCTATTGATATTTACTTTAATGTGCATATTAAAATAAGGTAGGTATTGTAAATGAACTGAAATTTTCAGTAGGTAAGTTACTTTTTTTCTTTTTGCAAGAAAATTACAGATAGGAAGATGTAGCACCAGCACAACAAAATAAGATATTTTTGAGTTAACGCTAAAAATTAAATAACTAAGGCAAAACAACACCTATTATGACTTACATAGGATGCCATTGTGTTAACCTTGAAGTATCGTCATAATAGACAATAGGTACGATGTTAATTTTAGACTTGAGCCGACCTATTACTTACTAACTTTTGCAAAATTTCTAATGCTGCAGAATACAATAACTAACTATACAATAATAAATTACTGAAAAAATATGAATTTAAAAATAGCAACAAAGTTGTAAAGTTTTGTAGAGTTTTGTCTATCTTTCGAGTCAAACTAAAAATGTTAGCTTATCGAGTTATCGACTCTACATTAAGTTACTGTTTTTAAAATAAATTATGTTACTTGTCTTACGAAATATGCGTTGATAACGAATAAGTGGAGTATCAGAGATTAGCTTACAAAGCTTTTTAGTTACTACCAGTTTCAGAATTTTTGTAAAGAATGAACCTGAATTTTATCATTTAAAACAACGCAGAAAATTTTGAATTCGTAGGCATTTAGGCATCAAAGTCAAAGTCAAAATTTCTTTATTTGTTTAGACTAATAAATAGTTCTTACAAATCGTCATATGCTCTTAAGTGATCCCCTTCAATTCTGAGAATGTAAGAAGATCCACTAGACCCCTATTACGTACGACAATGTTTTAATTTCGGTCTTTCTATTCGTCCCTTTCATTCATAACAAGATGCAATGATGAGTAAGAGCGACAGATTGAGTTAAGCATTCGAAAATAGGGTTTCGGAATAGTAGCCCTTAGGTATAATATCGGCTGCCCGCGGGGACGTGATGACTCACGGGCGCGGGAGAACCCGTGACGTCATCCGATTTTAACTGCGCAGTTAACGACTACGCGCCACTATTTTTGGTACAGTCATATTTTATCTGAACAGTTAAGTAAGCTGACATTTGTTAATTATAGAATTCAACAATTCAATTTGGAAATAAGTTCTACCGTCTCAAAAGGTTTTTAAATACTTAATTTATATTTTTTTTAAATAAATAAAGGTTATATAATTATAATTTAAATTGTATTTTTGCATAAATTTTACTTTGATCAATGTTATCTCAAGGATGATAACTTGATAAGATATCAAAGAAAACGTGATCGGCACTTATCAAGGTTTACTTTAACATACAGTAGACTCGATTTTCATAATGGAATCATTTGTAAAAAATAATTAAAGTTGTTCTAAGTAGTTAACTTTAACAAAAAGTCTAATCCTGTGATCCTGCCTAAACGATGGCACTTAATTACTCCACTTTATCTCGGACTGTGACGAATTAATTCAGATGTCTTAACAACAAGATCTTAATCAAAAGGTACAAAGTTCCATAAAACTAACCTCGTCTCAAGTCTAAACACCATAAACATCGTTATTACTTGTTTATTTACCTTTTATCAGTAAGTCAATATTTATCAGACAGATTTAAGAGCCGCTCTAAATCCGATAAGCGTAATGAAAGAAAGTGTCCTTGATAACTTTGTAAATTCAATCTAGCTATCTTCACGATTGGATTAGCATTGATAAATGTTTATCTAATAAATACATTATGTATTGTGTTGCGTATCAGGAAGTCAGAGCTAGGAAGAGGTA